AAGTTGCTGATGGATAATCTTGGCTACTTGATTATGCCTATGCAAATATTCACTGTTAGCCAAACGACCACAACCAGAAATAATATGTCTAATGGATTCACCAGGACTATGACATGCCCGACATATGTCAACCGTCCCATCCTTAATTATATATTTCCGGTAGTTATTCGTAAGGATAACTTCGTCCATAATTGCACAGACAAATCCTTCAGTTTCTCCAAAGAGATTACTGAATCGTAGCCAAGACACGGACGCTAGAAAATCTACACTGGGCCCATGAAGGGCCCGGAAGAAGCGTCCGTGGAGCTCCTTGCTATGCCATACCGCCTTGCGATCATTGACGCTCAGTACCACAGGTTTGCGCCAGTTCTCTTTTGCCAAGGATAGCGGAGTGAATCCATTGTCCACCGCTGCTACTTCTCGATGCATACCCTCGTTGACTTTCAGGAAATATTCCCTGAGGCTGCACACCTCACGGTTGTGAAGGGTCTTAGCATTTAATAAGCCTCGACCACCACACTTCCGCGGGATGTACAACCTCATGACCGACGAACGAGGGTGATGCATGCGATTTGCAGTCAGCAGGGTCCGGACTCGCCTATCCAGGGTGTCAAGTTCAGTCTGAGTCCACTTGAGTATACCAAAAGAATACATTAGGACTGGCATGACCCAACCGTTAAAGGCTCGCACTTTGTTTCCGCCTGATAAGGAACTTTTCAGTACCCTATTCAGGCGGCCAAAGAAGCGCTCCTGTAACGATTGCTTCATGTCCGGTCCATTAATGCCTAATCCTTCTGACATACCCAGGTACTTGTATGTATCGTTTGCGGAGAGTGATCTCAGCTTTGTGAAATCTGAGAGTTCTAGACCCTCAGATTCCACAATCCCTCCTCGCTTTACATGCATGACCGCACACTTGTCTACTCCAAACTCCATTCTGATGGAACTACTAAATTTTTCAGTTATATTCAGTAGTTCCATCAACTGTTTCTTGTTTGGAGCAAACAACTTGAGGTCATCCATGTAAAGTAAGTGGGATATAACTAGACCCCTTCTCCGCAAAGGATAGCCTAGCCCTGAATCCTCCAGTAGAGTACTTAGAGGATTCAAGGCCAAGCAGAACCATAGTGGGCTCAGGCTGTCACCCTGGAATATTCCTCGTACTATCCTTACAGGTTCTTCATTCCCTTGGATTTGTCTACATCCCGGATAGCAAAGCACGGTGCTCCACTGCCTCATACATGACTCCAAGAAGGCGCGTAAACTTGCATGTATTTTATACAACTCCAGCACCTTCAGGAGCCATGTATGTGGCACAGAATCATATGCTTTTTTATAGTCTATCCAGCATGTAGACAGATCTTTTCGGGACCGACGAACCTGTTGGCTAACAACCATATCAATGAGGAGTAGCTCCTTAGTTCCACGAGACCCCTCCCTACATCCATTTTGAGATACCGACATGATGGAATTTTTTTTAATATGTTTTGTTATTTTTGTCCTCAAAATGGATGTAAGAAGTTTATAGACCGTTGGTAGACATGTAATTGGTCTATAATTTTTGGGCTCAGTGGAACTACCTGATTTATGGAGCAAGTGGGTAACTCCTGTTGTTAGAAATTGTGGTAACGACCCAGTTTCCAAAGCTGCCTGGAAGTGTAATGCTAAGCGAACGTGTGAACTCTTGAACCATTTAATCCAGAAATTGTGCAGTCCGTCCGGCCCCGGTGATTTCCAATTCGGGACCGAACAGGCTGCACTGGCTACATCAGAGGAGGTGATTTCTACCTCCTCCATCTCTGGTATAGTCTCACACCTTCGCTTAACATCAAACATCCAGTCACCTTCTGTGTGGCTAACAGGTACCGACCAGATGTTGCGCCAAAATGTGCTAGTGGCATCATCATCCGGTCGCCGCCCGTCAACCACATCTTGGTTGGATCGTTCCCAATCTCTGTATACCCACCTCTGATCTCTTTGGAACATGCGATTCTGAGTATAGCGCTCCACTCTCTTTTTGTAACGTCTAATACGGTTTGCCCATGCATAAACTTTCTGCTTCAGGAAGTCGATGCGCTCTGTAACACGTGACAGGTATTCATGAGGACTGGTTTCAGTCCCCACAAATGCACGTCTTACAAAGCGCATCACTCTAGGGCGAGTATTGCCCTCCCTGAAGCAGGATAGTTTGCCAATGAGTACCCTGGCCTCACTGATACGACGCTCTATCCTATACTGCCAGGCAGGTACTGCTGGTTTTGGTCGGACTGCTGCGTCAAGATTTGGGAATCTGACGTTAGCCACTCGACAAGCAGCTACTGCCCCACAGTACAAGATTGAGTGTGTATCATAGAGGTTTTCGCTACTCTCAAAATATTTTTTAAGTAGCGAATCCAAGGCGCTCACCAGCGCCCTATTTTTTCTACACATGGGCAAACGTGGTAATTTTGGTCTTAAATTGCTAGGAGCAAGTCTATACTCACGAACCGCATCCTCCAAAGCACTCCTCAATCGTTCATTGCACTGAGTACTCACTTGTTCAACCCTGTCATCCTCCACACCAACGATAGGGGTGGTTGGCGTCACACATTGTGAGACTATAGGTGTTTGTGCCACCGATTGTGGTGGTGCAGGGACGACACGATTGCGCAGTGCTTCTAGGCGTAGCCGATCAAGCGCAGCCTCATCCAACCTGCGATTGCGTTGGATGACCCGCACCTGATCCGACAGTCGTTGGGCCGAGACGTTGATAGATGGCTCAAGAACCTGAAATATAGAAAGCATCCTTTCACGGTACGCAGTGAGGTTAGTCCCTCCCTCTGTAGCACCGTAGTACGAGCGCATGACGTTCTCATTTATGGTTTGAGACCATTTCATGCGCCGCACACAACCACCGGTAGCGGGGACCCGTCCCGGGGCCTGTTGGCCCCTGGCTCCCAAGCCCGTCGGTGGCCGGCCTCTCCCCGGCCGACGTACAGGTGTCGGCGACGTCGGCGGGGAGAAATAGTCGTCGCTCGAGCTCGACGCAACTGCTGTCACCGGTGATCCTGCGGGGCTGGGGTCCGGCGACGGCGAGGCGGAGCTGAGCGACGAGTCCGGAGGTGGTGGGGGTGCGCCTTGTTTGCTTCTGGCTCTCGTCAACATCATAACATTTTAATTTTCTGTTTCATATCTTCCTTTTGTAGTCTGTCACTGTCAAACATTTTTCTTCATTTATTGTTTGTTTATTGCTATTGTCGGTGTTGATTTTGCAGTAAGTATATATTATTATAAAAAGGTTTTGTTATTGTTATCTTGGGTATAAGGATACGTGTGAATTATTTATAAAAATAAACCGAAATAAAACAGAGTAAAATTTTGCACGTTGACATCTCGTGGTGTTGCCAGTTATTTTTATTATTATTATTCCTTGTGATTGGGAAAACTACATGCTTTCGAAAAACCCTGGGTGAATTGAGAGCATGCGTCACCTGTTTAATTGCTCTTGAGACCGTAGATTGAGAAACACCACTATATGCACTCTGGCCAACAAGAGTCTGATAGGAACCAGATGCAAAAAATGATAAGGCGAGCAGTAACTGAAAAAACAAAATTAGATTCTAAGCAGATAAATGTAATGAGATAAAATTTAAGTGTAAAAAGCACACAAGTTGAGACAAACCTTTTCTTTCACTGATAAACCATCTTGCCTTCGATTTCTCTCTATTAGAGGTGTAATATCCTCAATAATATTGTGGACAAGGATCTTATAAAGGCGAAATGTCTTTATAAAATCTCTGTCTGGCATTTCAAAGGCATCCCATCTAGAACACCTCAGTCTGTTTCTCCTTACTCGCTCCATTCGTCTATCTTCTCTTTCAGCTACATCTAATAATAACAGGCCTAGCCCGAGACTAATTTTTTTGTTTAATCACTGGAGTTTTTGTACCGAAAATCCCCAAAATTCGTTCGTATAAAATTAAATTAATAGCTGAGTTACAATGAAGTCAAAACAAACGTACTTCTGTTCAGCGACACTTCAACGACATTTCAACCGTCAGATTTGACGTTTAGTCGTTGATAGCCGACCCATTCCAACATCGTTTGTTTACGTGAATACCACAGTATTAATGATTGAAAGACGATTTAAACAGCTGAATACGCTTCAACGACACTTCGATCGAACGACTTCAAAATCGGTGTCGATCGAACTCGACTGATGTATGTGAATACGAAAAGGACTTAAACGATTAAGTCGCTACGATATCGCTACGGTTTTTATTACGTGAATCGGGCTGCTGGTGATTCGTCTGCCCGTTTACCGGCTTATGCTATAAAAAAAAAGCCGTTGGTAGGTTTCGAACCCCCGATAGTGACACTCCCCACTATATATTTTTAAACAGTTTTATTATATCCTTACTAATTTTACAAATCAGAAAGTGAGTTTGTTTGTTTGTTTGTTCCGCTTTCACGCCGTAACTACTAAATCGATTGCTTTGAATTTTTGCAGACGTAAAGTTAGAAGTCTGGATTAAATAATAATACCCTATTATTTAATCCAGACTTCTAACTTTTATCCCGGAAAAAATTGATATTCCCGAGGGAAGTAAAATAATTGGTATAGATGGCGCTGTGTGTATTGGTATATGCCACATAGGCTACTTTTTATCCCTTTGTGACGCGAGCGAAGCCGTGGGTAAAAGCTAGTGTATAGATAAACGGACGAGGTATAATGTTTTATATTGACAAAAAGACTGACAGTGAAAAACAAATGAAGAAACCAATAGCAATAATTTCTTTATTACTTCAATCAAAGGTCAACGGGTGCCTCAACTCCCCACTGTCTATCAAATCATACATGAGTTCATCGCGGTCAACATCGTCACGTCGTCTATGTCCAGCTATCAAATCATAATTATTTTCATAATTGTCAATAGGTTTTACATGTTTTAGTTTGTGTTTCATTTCAACTCGTTTTGCGTCTTTCATTATACTGTTCAGGAACTGAGTGACGTTGAATTTTTCTCCAGCGTTGATTGGTTTAATCGATTCGTTGGTCCGCAGCCTCGATTTTCTTGGTTGTGTATGGTGGAGAGCTGTTGGGTATGGAAAGTAATTATTTATTGACTGTATCATAAAATAATTAATTAATGTAAAAAACAAGCAAACAATTAAGCGAAAGCAAACTTTCGCATTTATGACACTCACTCGCTCATGATCATCAAAATAGAACTAGTAGGTACTTCCCATAACCTCAGAGAGCTCGCCAAGTCTAAGGTTCCTTATTGCGATTTCGTTATTATTATAGTTAATGTTGTTTGACTTGGCCGTTGAAGGGTAACACTACGTTTTCCAAGTGGCAATTTTCCATCGTCAATGGGTAGCGATTCTGGCGGCAGATTGGTGCAATGGTGTCATTGAGCACTTGGTTTTGTACCCTTGTGTTATTGAGTAAAAATCACTTTGATTTCGGATGTCCCGTCTCACGTTTAGACACGAGGACGTTCGAATCAAATTATCTGTGGCGACGGCTAACTGGCGGTGCACCGTTAAGTCTTTTGCAGCTCTGGATTGGGGTTCAACAGTACTTTAACCTCTAGTATGTCGGAGCGTAGAACTAGGCGAGGCACAGTGCGTTTCTATTGTGTCTCATATATCGGCAGACAAGAGGTTAAAGGCAGAAACAGACTAGTGACGTATCGTGGCGCCATGATCACAACTTTGCAACCTACGCAACACACAACCACATGCAATTGTGCCTCTAAATATGGCGGCGCCTTTTTTTTAAGGGGGGAAAATCATCGAATTACTGCTTCCGCCTGGGTGAGGCGGGAGGGAGTGTCAGACTCTTACTGACTAAAAACCACCCCGTTCCTTCTCCTGCACGTCGAGCCGGAGCCCCTGTTACCTGTTACGAGTTACGTGTCGTGGCGCCTAGGGTACCACTGCCACGACACGTTGCGCCACGCAAATGTATTTCTGTTATAACACTTCCATGATCTAATTTTTCGACGAGATTTTAATTGAAAATACCCATATTTTTATAATAACTATCGTAAGGCATACTGAATTGACAAAAAAGGGTACTCACACAAATATACTGAGATGAATACCGATATGAATGGAGCTGTTGGTAGAGGGCACCCTAGACGGACATATACTGACCAGATTGGCGATATATTACAGAAGGGCCAAATTAAAAGTACCCTTAACCGACGAGCATGCATGAAAAGATTGATGACTGTTGATGAAGCGAAAGAGGTATGTAGAAATCGTAGTAATTGGCGTTCCATTGCCTCTGCCTACCCCCATGGGAGACAGGCGTGAAGTTGTTTATGGATGTATGTACAGTGAAACTTGGTTAAGTGGGACCTGGATAAGTGAGAAACCTCCATAACTGGAACTCATGCTGAGGTCCCAACACTTTGGCACTGAATTACCTGTGTTAGTGGGACGAGATAAAACTCTATATCCGGGATTTGTTCTTTCGATTTATCATCATAGTTACCTCTATAACCGAGACAGTAAATTTTATATGCATAAACCTCTGTAACTGAGATAACATTGTTTGTTTACTCATTCTTATTCTACCCACAAATTCCACACGTAATTCCAAGTCCACCTCTATTAATGGAACCCGCGGTAAATGAGTCATATATTTATTTATACCTGTATATCTGAGACTGGGTAAGTGGAATACCTCTATAAGTGAAACGACATTGCAGGTCCCTTGATATCTCACTTAACCAGGTTTCACTGTATATACTGAGACAAATTATAATAGTTTCGTTCGACTAGCAGCCCGCGCCGCTTCCCAGCAGGCTGTGCGATATCGCCGAGCCCTCAGCTCATGAGGAAGAGCCCCTCTGTGACTCGAAACTAGTAGAGGTTCTCTCAGTATATTTACGTGAGTAAGTTAAAAATACTCACATATCAATATAATTACTAAATAACAGAATACATTATACTCTCTCATCTCTCCGAGGCGTCTGTTCAGTGACAATAAAAAATAGATAACAAGAAAAAGCATCGAGTTCAGTGGATAATCGAATTTTTCAGCTGTTACGCCGTGAAATTACTGAAAAATTGTCTTTTTTTAATTAGTTTTTAGAACATTGTTTTAATTCGTCGAAGTGTTGCCAGAGTCTGTATTTCCTGAAGGGTATAACCTAGGTGTCTTCAAGGCCCGAGTGAATAGGTTGCTTATGGGACGACGTGCTCCATCGTAGACCTCATCATCGGTTACCACCAGACACATATAAAGAAAAATTGTGTCGTGTAGTAGAATAAATTTGTCACCACCGCTATTATTTTTGTGGGTGTAGTATACCCGACTAATGGATCATACATTACCTGCTCAATCCCTAAGCAGTCACCGGTGATTGCTCTCCATTTTATTTATGTCATAAAAATAAAATTCCTGTAAACGGGTAGACGGATCACCTGATGGTAAGCAGTCGAAGTCGCCCATGGACATCTGGAACACCAGAGGCGTTACAAGTGCGTTACCGGCCTTTTTAAGATCGTTGGTTATTCAGGGATTAGGGAGATTGGGGAAGGGGAGGGGATAATTACGTCTCCGGTAACCTCACTCACACGACGAAACACAACGCTGTGGTTGTTACACTATGGTCTTCTGCTCGTTGGTGGTATCACTCCGGTCGAGCCGGCCCAGCAGTGCCGAAGCATGACTCTCCCCCACTTTTCACTATTTATGTTATAAGTCCCATGTAATGGGGTGAGCCTATTGTCATATACCGGGCACAATTCCAGACTCTGTGCTACTACTGAGAATATTTAAAAACCCAGTAATACTTTGCCCGGGAATCGAACCCGAGAACGGGAACCCTTGCCCGGCAGTCGCGCTTACGACCACTCGGCCAACGAGGCAGTCCCTTAATTAACCACATTAATTCAAGAGCCATTTCATAATGTATCCCGTACTTAATATTTTACTCAACCCGAGAATCAAACACAGAACCACGCATTATACAACACTAACAAACCATGCAAACATGATTTTTATTGAAACAACTTTCCACGAACAACTGAAGACAGCCGAACAATGAGAACAAAGAAATTTGAACCTTATGTCTAATAGTATAAGTACTTTAGTAGCGGCTAATCCAGATAAAACAAAAAACAAATATAAGAAACAGTTGCAACATACGATCTTCAACCTTATTGTTTTAAATATAAGGGCTTAAGTGAGTGCTAATCCAGTGAATGTAATATAGGTTAAATTCCCAAGCCCTTTTCTTGAGAAAGTAACCTGTGATTGGCCAATTTAGGTGATGCGCGCGCATTCGCGAAAGGTGATTGACGGATTTCTTGTCCTATACTCCTTACATTGACGATTTTGTTTACAATGACAGTTTTATTGTTAAAAGTTAAGCAGCAATGTATGTGGTGTTGAAAGAAAGTGTTGTTTTCTATCGTTTGAAGGCTTTTTACTACTTTCGTTGCATGGGACTCGCGATTTAGTTGTGGTTCGCAACCCATTGCATTTAGATAGGGACTACAAAATCAAAATGTGACGCCAAAAAAATAATAATAATGTGCTTAACAACTTAATTAATAAAACTAAAATGTTTATTTAAAAACAAAAAAAAAACAACGCGTGCCTTATAAAATCGTGCTTATAAAAAAATAAATTAAATTATATAAGTGTAAACTAAAAAAACAGTGTCTCAAAATTGTACAAAGAAAAAAAAAATAAACGAAGCATCCATCTTGTGTACCTAATTCGAAATTTAAACGTTACGTCATCGGAGCATTTAAAAAATTCGACATTTATAAAAATTCAAAATGGCGAATGTGGGAAAAGTTTTAGCTACTATAAAAGCGGTTATAACTCGTCTCGTCTTCGCTTGCCACGGCATAATAGCTATATGGCAGGTGACTTTGTTCAAAGATGACATCGAATACTGGTATTTGGCGTCCCCTATTATGCTTCTAATATTCGAAGGAGTCTTTACGTTGACTATAAAAGAAAATCAAGAGTGGAAATGGTAAGTACTTAATACACAAATTAAGTTTTAATTGAGAATAGTAGGGACCTAGGTATTTATCACGTCCCTTCGTTTCATAGGAGCTGACTACGAGACGGTTTTTTTCCATTATCTACAACTAGCTTTTACCCGCGGGTTCGCTCGCGTCACAAAAGGATAAAAAGTAGCCTATGATTCATAGGTATACCAATACACACAGCGCCATCTAGAAAGAAAGAAGAAGAAAAGCCATTTATTTTTGCGTAAAACACACATAACATATTTAAAAAATAAAAAAGAAAATAAAAAAAAAATAAAAAATTAAAATGAAGTGAGATCTTGTCCATGGTCCACAGACTTATTATTATATATCTAGAGGTATACCAATACTTTTGTTTTCCCTCGGGAATATAAAATTTTTCCGGGATAACAAGTACCCTATTATTTAATCCAGACTTCTAACTTTTCGTCTGCAAAAATTCAAAGCAATCGGTTTAGTAGTTACGGCGTGAAAGCGGAACAAACAAACAAACTCACTTTCCAATTTATAATATTAGTAAGGATAGTTGTACACAAACCGGGGATTGTCGTTGGGTGCATTTCCATAGTGCATACAGGGATAGTCCCCGGTTTGTGTGTCCATTACATTTATATTAAAGTTGTCTAAAGGGCCTCTGCGCAGTTGGCTTCGGGCCCTCGTACGCGTCCCAAATGACTAGAGACCAGACACCAAGCAGCAGCACCCTATACCTACTTAAATTTTTGCCCATTTAAATATGACATAATCTTTTAACACATTCACTGCGGCTGCGTTAAATCTAAACTTTCTACTAGTGCGATACGAGACAAATGCTGCCCGTACTATGGTTCCTGATATTCGTTACGGCTTCTATTTTGCCGTACCAGACCCTGACTTTCAAAGACGTGGATACCGCCTATATCAATGGTTTTTATCAACAAATCGATAGACTATATCCTTGTATATACCTAGCTGCAGTCGCCCTGGGTTCTCTGTTATACTTTGAAAGATACTGAGATTTTTCAAAATCTTTCATTCGCGGCAATATATATGCCGTACAGCGTAGAAGTGAAAAAACGCTAGGGATGGGGTTTACTTCTGAAATGATAGTCGATAGTTTAAAAATATTTTTTATTGTAGATAAAATGTTAATATTTAACAGTGTTATATTATTATATAAATCAACATAATTATGTAACCTAATTATCCCACCAAAAACATAAATGTAAAAAAGGGGAGCCAAGTTCAGCCCAAATATTATGCTTTGACGTGGGCTTCGCTGAAAAAAGAATGAAGATCTAAATGAGTGCCAAGTTCTATGCAAAATTTAAATATGTATCTATAGGAACAAAATAACGTTATGAACGAGAATCAAACTATATTTCTTTGCTTTATTGGATACCTATAATAATTGCTGTTATCTAAAAATGTGAGATCTTAAAGTAGGTTAGATTTGACTTGGCCAGTTTTCATCAGTCATTATTTTTATAAAGCTGTTCAATATTTTTAAAAAGTTGTATGTACTCCTACCTATCTTGTGTACATTAATGACCTACCACAGTCAATAAGTCATCAGTGTGTTCTCTTTGCTGACGATACTACTATTATCATAAAGAGTAATGAACCCCAAAATTTGAGTATTCAGGTCAACAAAGCATTAGGTGAAATTATGAAATGGCTAGATACTAATAAGTTAAAAATAAACATCCCTAAAACTAATGTAATCTATTTTAAAATATGGAAAAGTAAGCCCGTACAAATTGATGTATCATATAATAATAATGTTATAGAACAAATACATTGCTCTAAATTCCTGGGTATAACAGTTGATGAAAATATTACTTGGAAAACTCATATTGCAAATGTATGTGTAAAAATCAATAAATTTGTCTTTGCTTTGAGAAAAATTACATGTATAACATCCATGCAAACTGCCTTAATGGTATACCATGCATACGTTTGCTCAGTTATCCGCTACGGTATCATTGTATGGGGAAACTCTTCGGATATATCACGAGTGTTCATTGTCCAGAAGAAGTGTGTTCGTGCAATGTTTAATGTTGACTGGTGTGATTCATGTAGACCCGCATTCCAATCAAATAGCCTCTTAACGGTTCCCTGTATTTATATTTACGAGATTTCTAAATTTGTGAAAAATAATCCTCAATTTTTTGTGTCTAACAATAATGTAAATAAAAGAAAAGCTACTCATCTAGAATTTCAGTTACCTGTTCCTAGATTAGAGTTATTTAGACGAAGCTGTATTTACATGGGTCCCTTAATATATAACTCTTTACCAAAAACTATCTCCGGACTACCTTCAAATAAATTTAGTGTAATGCTAAGAAAATGGTTATGTCAGCAATGTTTTTACTCAGTTGACGAATTTCTAGCAAAAAACCCATGTAAATTCTACAATTGTGAGCGATCTGTGAGGTATAGACTGTAAACTTATAATTTAGATAAATTGTTAAATGTTCTATTTCTGTGATAAGTATTTGAACTGTATAAAGATTTGCATGTCGCCAAGCGGCAAGATGTATATGGCACCTTGACTATGTTATTATTATCACCATTATGTACCTACATTTTATGCAAATAAAGATTCTATTCTATTCTATTCTACCAAGGACATTGTATTAGTTCAATAAGTAAATTCATTTGAAAATAAAATTTTGAAGTTGATACAAAACACAATAAGCCAAAAATTTCAATATGTCAGCAGCTCCGATGATATAAACTACATATTTCAAAATGAAAATGTAAAATATAAAAAATCGCCCGGACAGGGACTTGAACCCTGGACCCTTGGATTAAAAGTCCAATGCTCTACCGACTGAGCTATCCGGGCTGTAGAAGTACAGCTGAAAATACGCAAAATAAGGCAATCATTAGTTTCTATTAAATACTTTTATTTGTTCAAGTGTTAGCAGTCCCCAATAGGGTAGATGACTCATTTTTATTTTAATGTCCGTCTGGTAGATTATTTAAAATCATTAGACACGTATTTTTTATTTTCTTACAGAAACGAAGACTTTCGGCGATATATTGATTTGAAATATCGCGTGACGTCACTTCTTTATATACATTTTATACGTAGAAATTACTGCCTCGTTGACCAAGTGGTCGCAAGTGCAACTGCCGGACAAGGGGTCTCGGGTTCGATTCCCAGGTTGGGCAAAGTATTACTGGGTTTTTCTAAATACTCAGTAGTAGTACGGTGTCTGGAAATGTGCCCGGTATATGGCAATAGGCTCACCCCCTATTACATGGGACTCATAACATAAATCGTGAAAAGTTGGTGATACATTGTACAGTGGCATTACGTGCCGTAATGTGCACCTCTGCCTACCCCTTCTATCCCCGAAGGGGTAGGCAGGCGTGACGTTATGTTAGACACGTATTTTTATTTTCTTACAGAAACGAATACTTTCGATGATATATTGATTTAAAATGACACGTGACGTCACTTCTATGTGCATTTTATACGTAGAAATGACGTTTTAGCACCCATTCCTAAGCTTTGATTCGTTATAGTATCATTTTATTATACAAAAAAATAAAAAAATACGTGTCTAATATTTTTTCATTACCTAACTGACGGACTAATTAAATTTTTAATTTTCATACCCTGTCATCATCCCTATTCGGTACGGCTTTGTCGCTAAAATATATGACATTTCTTTCGTATGTATCGACCAGCAGCTGTAGCCAAATGCCATTTAGTGCTTGTCTGCATGTAGAATAAAACCAAATTATATGGAATTGACGTAAATTTTGACACTTGTCAATGTCATCCCCATACATTTTGATTTCTACTCTCTCTGTAGACAAGCGCTAAAGTGGCGTTTGGCTATAGGCACGGGGCCTCGAGTCTGCTATTACAATAGTGTTAGAATGATCAATCATTGCTTTAAAAATTGTTGATTTTGACAAGTTTAGTAATCAACTAATCTAATGGCGTCATTATGACTTTCCAATAGTCAACCACTGACACACCATTGCAAGTAATGACAATGACACAATACCATTTTATGGTAAACTCGAGCACAATGACAGATACTTCAGATTGCATATAAAACTGATAGATATTTGGTAAAATATAAAACAAAAACTGCGTTTAAGAAACTGGCTTCGAAAATCAAAACCTAGAAACAAGCAAAAGGTAAAAAATAAAAAGGAAAATATAACTATTGTTGGTCATACGTACTTATAGCTTACACGCCCACTGATAGGTGAGAAGTCGGTGCCACTCCTAAACTTAACTCCGGTTTATCTAAGTATTGTTTTCTTATACGACAAAATAAAAAAAAACGTGTCTAATATTTTTTCATTATCTGACTGACGGACTAATTACTTGCTTTAATTCATATACTGTCTACTACCCTATTGCCGCATACTGGCCACTATTCTAGACCCCATGATGTTATTTGCAGTACATTTTTTTTCGGTATATTAACTTATTAACTTGTTGTAAGGAGGATGGACCTTTATGAACACTTGGCACAATGACAAAACTGTAACAAAATATAGACAACAGACATTTTACTTTAAAATCGAAGAATTTAATAAATAGGTTCTTTGACCAACACAGTAAAATATAAATACCACTTTGCCTTCTCTATAATATCGAATAGATCACCTTTACTCAGACAAAATCAGATTTATAATTTCCAAAAAATATAACCAAAAAGACCATAAACGAAAAAACTAAATATGAAGACAAAAAGCAATAAGAAATCGCCCGGACAGGGACTTGAACCCTGGACCCTTGGATTAAAAGTCCAATGCTCTACCGACTGAGCTATCCGGGCCTTAGCAATATGTCTGAAATTACCTAAAATATGGATATTACTAGCTAATATATATTATGTGTGTTTGTTCAGACCAGCATTAAAAATAAGGTTTTTTATGGTATAAGCCGGTAAACGAGCCGACGGATCACCTGATGGTAAGCAATCAGCGCCGCCCATGGACACCTGGAACACCAGAGGCGTTACAA